TTTTTTTTTTCAAATTAAAGTATATTACATAAGCTTTAATTTAAGATATATATAAAAGTGTCAGTATTTCCGGAATACTTTCAAAAATTAAATTGAAAATATCTTAGTAACAATACGCATGTTTAAAGTTTTGACCCCCCTTGTTAAAGGGGTATGATCCGATTTACAAAAAAAGCGTGCCAGATGAAAGGGGTATATAAATATTTATTATAAAAAAATAATAATATTGATCCATACATTTTTCCAAAAGTTATATAAAATATAAATTAAATAATATAAAATCGAGAATTTTTTTACGGAAATCGTACGTTCATCTTTAACTTTGATGTCCGTTTTCACCACGAAGACAAGTCCAGAATTATAAATCTATATATCTAATTCCTAACATTTCTCTGAGTTCTTGAAATCTTGTTCGTGGTGTTGGCTTGGTCAAGATGTCAGCTAACTGCTCTTTGCTGGTCACATACTCCAGTGAAAACATCCCTTCATTGAACTTCTCACGAATATAATGATAACGAACATCTATATATTTAGTTCGTTTATGGAATTCTGGATTCTTCACCAATTTTATGGCACTTTGATTTTTGCGTACAAAACAGGTGTCTCTCCCTGTGTTTCCAGAAGATCACTTGTTAGTAGCGTCAACCAAGATAATTCCTGGACTGCATGACTCAGTGCCATTTATTCAGCCTCAGTAGTTGAGGAGAGTACNCAGTGCCATGTATTCAGCCTCAGTAGTTGAGAGTGCTACTGATTTTTGCCTTTGTGAACACCATGCTATTATTCCATTAGTCATCATGAAAATGTATCCTGATGTTGATCGCCTTGTTGTTGTATCACCAGCATAGTCTGCATCACTATAACCATGTAACTTAAGTTTCACCCTAGAATGAAAAAATAAACCATAGTTATAGGTTCCTTTTAAATATTTTAAAATACGTTTCACCGCATTCCAATGTATTATCAGAGGCTTTTCTTAATAGCGACTGACAAGATTTACAGCAAATGTTATATCAGGCCTTGTGATCTGACTTAGATATAACAAACTTCCTACTACTTCTCTGTATGGAACTTCCCCTGCTTGTAATGATTCAGATAAATTTGCATCTAATGAGTGTTGTGGATCTGCAGGAATGCATAGAGCGTTGGATTCAGCTATATTATATCTCTCCAAAACGCGTTGACAGTATAATGACTGATGTATAAATATTGAACCATCTGGGGGTCTATTTTTGAATCGTCCGTTCGTCGAACGTATACGTTCGTTGAACGGACACGTTCCTCAAAATACGTCCAACGAACGGACACGTTCCTCGAACGTTCATGTTCGTCAAAATACGGTCAACGAACGGACACGTTCCTCGAACGGTCACGTTCGTCAAACGGATTCTATTGTTCCATTAGGTATACGGCCTTTTAGGTATTGTTCGATGAACATATATGTTTTACGATTGTTTGCAATCTATTGTAATAACATAAATAAATATTTTGAAAATTAAATTCATACAGCTTGATTTTTAATATTTTAATATTTATTTTTAATTAATATAATACTTTTTAATAACAATAATTTATTACTAATACATACATTTATAATTTGCTAATTTAATTTATGTGATGTGAATTTATTCTAAGTAATTCGCTAAAACTATATAAATAATTTAATTACACAAATTCTAACAAAAATGTATTTACAATTGCATACAAGTTAAATTAAAAATGATTAATACACTTTAAAACAACAATACTTAAATTTTCGAAAATAAAGTGTTACATATATTTTATTTTATTTATTCATTTTAAGATTAATTGATATAATTTATAAATTATGTTACATATAAATAAATAATAAATTTAATAAGATTTTAGTTCTTAATTGGAAAAAATGACACCCTAGGTCACGGTCTACTCCTAAATACGCCACTGTTTTGAAAAGTTGTTAACATAACAAACATATAATTCATGAATAATTTTCACAAAAAACTTAAGGTAAATTTTTAAAAGATGGTTTATTACGAGGTGCAAGGATGCAACCAACAAAATAGTTGTTACACGTATTACGAGTTTTAATTAATATTACTGAGTAATCATAATATAATATTATGTTTCAATTTATTTAACATATTAACTGAAAAATGGAAATTAATTTATAATACTGAATATAATATTTTAATATTTTATACATTTTTTTTAGACAACGTAATATTTAAAACATAAATATTACTTTTTTCTGCACGTGTTCAAGCAATAGGGGTAAAAAATTTTGAGATAATATACATGTATAATACACAAGGGTTTACAAATACAGGTAGCTAATTGGTTTTTTATGACATCGATATTAGCAGGTACACAGCATTGTTATTATTAATAGTAGTAAGGCACATTGTTGTGAGTTTATAAATACACTAACTGACAATACAGAAGGTATATCTAATGATAGTCATAATTGATAATAAAGAATCCGTGACTATGACAGCAATGTCATAAAAATCCAATTAGC